CGCTCTGGCGTGCCTCTATCAGAAGTTATTGGCAAAAACTGTCAGATACCACTCGTGACTTGAGATGACCTCAGGGGTATAAAAAGGGGATACGCTCACGGGTGCGATTTTCATGTTCAGTGTGTCGGCGTTATTATTAATTCAGTATTTGAGAGTGTTTATAATGACTTTCGTCTGAAAGAGACGCCTTTCAATTTTCTCCTTACAATGGAGAGTTCGCAAAACTGACCTGACCCTAGGTCACCAATATTGAAATTCCGTTTATCCATTTTGTACATACCTACTTATTAATCGCTTACATACTTATTAGTCAATCTTATTAATCACTTACATACTTATTAGTCAATCTTATTAATCGCTTAAAGTTTCAAAGCAATCGGTCACTCGGTGTAGCTATGGCAGACATTGGAACTGTTGTGTAGTGAGGTCAGTTGTCCTGACCTCAGGTGACCTGGGTCTGAAAGTTTTACAACATATATAGAAAAGATGTATGATAAGGTGTGCCAAAAACGGCGGTGCTTATTCGTAAAAAACCGCAGGGGGTTGTTCAGGGGCGCGGGGACTACTTTCCGACTGGAGGGGCACACCATAATAGAGATTAACCTAGGGTACCCCCAAATCTAGTTTTCTCACCGGTTTTAGGCCACTTATTTTTCACCCCTCGGCTTTTTCAACAAAAAAAGAAAACATTTGCAAAAAAAGTGTGGTATTCCGTCTCAAAGCTGTGGGGGCATCGCCCCCACGGCCCCAAAGTTGGGGGGGGGGGGGCAAGCTGCCCCCACTGCCCCCCGGCTCCCACGCCTATGGGGTTGTTTGAACCCTCCCCCCCCCCCCAGTGGGTTAAAATTTTATTCCATTCCAAATATAAAACATTAGCGGCGTAAATATGACCATTTATTTAACATCGTATAAGTAATTGCGTAAACACAACCACATTACAACGGCATAAAACAAATGATAAAGCACAACTCAAGCGTAGGTAGCCACATTGCCGATAGCCACATGATAGTCACATTGCCGAGGTCATTTATGTCGTCGTCCGGGCTGTCCGTTTCACTTGTCTACACAAACTGGACGGTAGCCACAAAGCCGGAGCCCATGAAGTACTTCTTGTAGGATTTGAAGCGCAGCACCAGGTCTCCGTCGGGGCTGGTGGACGTCAGCTGCTTGCCCGTCAGCTGTTTGCTGCAGTACATCTCTCCGCCGTCTAGCACTCCGCCCAGCCGTACCGAGAGGTACTCGTACTTGCAGGAGCCGTTCACCTGCTGCATGATGGAGAAGGTAGTGAAGGTGACGCGCGCCCGGCGGCCGGTCGGCGGCCGCACCCACCACGAGCAGTCGGCACCGGTCGGGTACAGCGCCGGCCAGCCGGGGCTGCTCACGGTGCCCTCGGAGCTGATCTCGCCACCGCAGCTCGGAGCCGGGTAGTAGCTGCCACGCACCGTCTCGCACGCCGAGCCGCTCGTGCCCGGCGGACAGTGGCACACGCAGTCGGCCGACACGTAGCCGCCGTTCCGGCACGGCGGTGGGCTGCTGCACAGCTCCTCGCAGCGGTACAGCCGGTTCATGAGCGCCACGTCACGGAAGGAGGGCTTGTTGCGCTGTCCGATCAGACCCTGCAGCGTCGGGTTCCGGGTCAGGATGGTGGGCCCGCCGTTGGAGGAAAAGTACGTCGAGCCGTAGTGCATGACGGAGCCGAGGTCGTACGGCACGCCGTGGTTCTGGGTGTTGTCCACCTTCTTGAAGTTGTGCTTGTACGCCTCTTTGACGTTGTCCCACATGATGGTGACGTGCTCGTCGCGGTCAGAGCGCGACTGTTCGTGGTAGAAGCCGAGCGAGTGGCCGATCTCGTGGGTGACGGTGCCGAAGCCGGTGCAGCCAGAGCCGAGACTCAGCTTCTGTGTTCGTGAGGAGGCGTGCTTGGCCGTGCAGCCGAGCATGGACCAGCAGCCGGACTCGGCCACGAAGAGCACCCGGGGCTCGGAGCTGCCGCTGGACACCTCCTGGAACTGGACGCAGCTGTGGTCTCGCCAGAACTTGATGCCGGCCTCGATGGCGGCGCGACTGGCGTCGTTGGTGATCTCGTAGTTGTAGCGCCGGTCCGTCCAGAGCTCCCCAGAGGTCACGCCCTTGCGGTCCTCCTCCGCTGACCTCAGGAGGTCGCCCTCCTCCAGACGGCCGTACGGCGTCAGGACAGGGTTGGTCTCGTGAAAATCGAGCGGCTCGGGCTCGTCAAAAAGTTCGAAGTATTCCTGCAAGTTTGCGCGTTTGATTTCTTCTTCACGTAAAGCTGACCTTTCCAGCTGCAACTTCGTGACGTTAAAGATGATATCGTCCCTGTAGCGATTCGGCTGAAAAATGAACAAATGGGGTAATAACATGTACTACTACTTCGTACGAAAATTTGCTTGTATGTTAAAATGTTTACCTCATGAAAGCTCTTGCTCAGCGCATTTATGCAAAAAAAGGAAACATCAGACTGCAGAAGGAGCAGATGATGAAAATAACCTCATTTGATTTCTATCGGATTAGCCGTTGTGTGTATCCCGCACGCTGAGCACGACTAGCCCGCGCCCCACTGGGGTCTGCGTATAACACGCCCTACTTCGGGGGGGGGGGGGCTCTTCAAAGCCCCCTCCTAACTCCGAAACTAGTGGGCCGATCGTCAAAATTCAAACGGCGTCTGATAGCCCCGGAAAAACTGTCGAACGAAACCTAATTTCATTGACCTCGAAGTCACCGATGACGTCACAGGTCAGGTCAAAGTGAAAATTATTAGCATTTTGGCTTGTTCACGTTTTGGGCTCTGGCCGCCGTCTTACAAGTCAGATCAGGATCATTTTTGGTTTACACACTCGTGAATAGATGCTCTAGATACTCTGAGGGTACCAAACTTGTACTTTGATTTTCAGGTCAGGTTCAGGTCATCACAGGTCACGAAAATATTATATCATGCGTCGGTCACGTGACACATGTTTTATGGTCCATTGAGGCCATAGATTTCGAATTTGCTGCCGTCTGTATCATTCGAGGTAATTTTGAGTCGAATTTAGCTTAGGTCAGGTCACACTATAACTTTGTACTTCACTTGGTATACTCGTAACTTTGCCATTTTTGAAGAAATTTAGCTACAAGTTGCTTATGATAGAATTTTCAAAATTTTTAAAATTTTGAAAATCCGAGATAGCAGTTTGATAGCGCAGTCAGTTCTGAGTCCTTTCATGCAAAGAAATTGGATCTAGCTAAAAAACTGAGCTCTTGGGAGCGATTGCCGTGGTTCAATGTTTTGGGTCGAAATTGGCCGAACATGACGTCACTCTGACGTCATTTCCGGCCGACCTATGGTAGCTACGAAGTTCATATTTTGACACAAGGTGTCAAATTGATGCAGCCGAAGGTACTGAAAGTTTGGCGTCGATACTAGGAATAATAGCCGGTCCCCTAGCTCAGTTGGTAGAGCGTTGGACTCCGCGTGGTGAGTGCACGCGTTCCCGGTTATAACAGTCCGGGTTCGAAGCGCGACGGGCGCTTGACATTTATGGGCCTCCTGACAGGTATGGTTGCGGTTGCTGGCAGGCCGTAGCCAGGCGAAGTCAGTGAGGGGACCGGCCGTGCGCGGCTATGTGCGCACGCTAAACTTTGGACTCTAAATTCTGCCATAGAACTGGAATTGCGCGATCGGAGGGTAGAGGGCAGGGTCACCGCAACAAGCTTCGCTTAGCGGTGGCTCTGTCCTTGTGAATCCTTCCTATCAAAAGGTTCGGACTAAATTTATAAAAAAAAAGATACGTCAACCGGTTTGGAAGTTATTGCACAAAAACGGGAGGGGGGCTATGAATATCCCCCCCCCCCAGTGGGGCGCGGGCTAGAAATTACACCGCATACTCCTAAATATTGAAGAGTTGTTGAGATGCTGCTGGAGATCCAATGACAACAGTCCCTAGGAATTGACAAACCATAAATTATTGATCAATTTTACTCAACACCCAGAACGGTAACATACAAAAACCTATTAGCGTCACTCACCATCACTCCTGAACGAACTGCCTGCGAGCACATTGGAGCTGAACCCGGCACGCTTTAAGCGAGCAGTCAAGTCGGTGGTGTGCAATAGGGGTGGGGAGGGTGGACAGGGTTAGCATTTTCTGACGTATGAGTGTTGTTTGACTGTGTGCCTGTTTTTACCCCTCAACCATATTTCCCGTTGATCGTTTTATCTTTTGACTTGTGACACAGAATAGCCACAATGAGTGATGTGGAGTTGTCAGCAATTGTCAATACAATACAATACAATATTACCGGTAACTTACCATTGCCGAAACACCGCAGAGCAGGAAGATGCCAAACAGCCACATTGCTGCTCCGCTCGCAGATTGTGAAGTGATATAGTTGTTGGTGGAAGTGATGCCTCTGCCAACGTCCCTCCCTCCTTATATACCTACCAACAAGGCTTGGAGCCCCCGCAAATCGGAAGCATATAATCTCCACATATGCCGAACTGAGGATTATCCCTTCCCACTTGCTGTGTATTAACAACACTTGCACAGTATTTGTCACGGGTTTGTCAAATCAAAGAAGAGATTAGTGCCAGGACGGCACATCTGAGGTGAGGGGGGGTGGGGTGGGGGATCAACTGCCAACCATAAATCAGGAGAAATAATGTGTTCTAATAAATAATAATGTGTTCCTCACACGCAACAAATAGAACGCTATAGGTATTGCTGATAATGCTGATTCGCACCATGATCTCACATGACTGAAACTGATGGTTAGTAAACCGATGTTTCGCGATGTTTAGGAACTTTGAGATCGTGAAGCAGACGCCACGATTATATTATGCATTGTGTATCGCACACGATACACCAATAACTTAAAGTCGACATCCCCTTCTTCCTCTCCAACTCACTCGACTGCCTTCCGCAGGCATCCCACCTGCTCGGCTCGTCTTCGGAGGACGTCAGGTCGTCCGGCAGGCCCTTCAGCCTGCTGGTCCCCTCGCCGGTGCTACCCCTCCGGAGGTCATCGGCCGGCAACGGGAAACGCGCCACAAGAGGTCAGTCACACGTCCGAAATATTCGCATAGGGTCGGCATATAGAGCTGGGAGATAGAGTTTGGATATTTCCTTCTTACATACAGTTCGTGCCTCGTGGTTAACCCTCGCCGGACCTATTGGTTTTCTACATACGCGCCGGCCGAGGGGGGGGGCGGGTACGACCCCCCCCTCGCCGTTTCGCCCCTGGTGGAGCTAGCGCGTCGCGGAAAAAACGAGCGTGTGCGCCGTTACGAGACGCAGAGATTGGTACCCGATTTTAAGGTCCTAGGTCAACCGGTGACCTCTGAGGTCAGGTCAAGTGCCCCAAGGTACGGTTCAGTTTTTGGTGAATAACTTCGCAAAAAACGGTCGCAGAGCGCCGATTTTGGCAGCATCGTGTTCGTCTCGCTCAGGCGCGTCGAATGATATACTTTTTGTCCGGGTCAGGTCAACTTGGGGTGTTGACCTCAGGTCAAGGTCAGGTCAGCACCCCCAGGTCACGAAGTTGGTCGAAAGAGGTCATGTCGCATATCATTCGATTCGGCAGGTCTTCCTGAGTCCATTGGTGGCTTTCCCGACTCGCTAGCTCAATTTGATCAAGAGTTATTGACGAAAAACTAATATGACCTTGATGACGTCATAAATGACGTCACGCAAGGTCAACATTGAAAAAGTGACGCATCTAACCTTGCAAGGAGTGCATAAAATCACGATTCTGTGTGCTTGAGATAGTTGGAGATCGCTCCCGGTGCCAGAATAGCAGTTTTCATTTTTCCCCATTGACTTATAATGGTGAGGTCACGAAAATGACCTGACCTCATATGACCTTTAGGAAAAATCCGAGATATACAAGTTGTGGGACTCATAATGGATACTAGATCCTGCAAGTTTCATTTCCCTGTGACATCTCCTCTGGCAGTGAGGGCGTTGCGAAGTTGCGACATCTGAAGACCGTGCAGAGGTTCACTTATGACGTCATAGGTCAGTGACCTGACCTGACCCAAAAATGCGGTTGGTGTCAAAAGATGCGGCTTGGATCAAAGGTCAGGTATGCCAAGTTTCAGCTCTCTATCGCCAGCGTGTTCGGAGCTATCGCGAAAAAACCCTATGGGGGGGGCGGCACCCGCCCCCCCCCCTCGGCCGGCGAGGGTTAACAGATTATTAATTGCAAACAATCATACACATGAAGCAGGAAACGTGGTTAAAGGAAGGGTGCCACCTTCCGAAATTTTTGTTCTATGAATCTATTTTACTTATTTGAATTTTTAGACGTGGTTAGCGCGTCCACAATATACAAAAAACCGAAACATTGCATTTAATACATTGGCCAAAAAAAGATCGTTGTTTATATCACCACTACAACTCAAGGTCGTTTGATGTGGCAGCTAGGACGGCTGGCATATCCTGTTGTCATGGCAACATATCATTCTGCCATTTGCATTTATGGCGCAACTGAGACAAAAAGATGAACAAATAAAAAGGAAGAAGATAACATGATTTGAACTAAGTTGTAGTAAGTAAGTTGAACTAAGTAAGATACGTCAAAAGAACATCAAATAAGTCGAGTAAAGGTTTTTCCTTTACAATGCTTAAGAGATCTATGGAACCCTTCACCCTTCATGCAACTTACTAGAAAAACTTCCCAATTAAAATTTTAAAACTTAAGTGTATACCATAAAGAAAAAATATACCCTTTCAAAATGATAAAACATGCTTCAAAAGTATAACTTTTATACATACCTTTGCTGATTTCATGTTTTATAAAATACCCTTAACACGACGAGGAAATAGTGCTGAAGATTTTTGCCTGCCCGAATGCTGGCAGCAAAACTCGCAAATGATAACTTCACGTGCGGATTCAATGCTGACCGTCTCGAGCATAGGTAAGTGAAGCCGGTTTTTAGGTTCATGTGAGGCTAATCTTGTAAAAACTGCGTTGTGTCCAAAAGGTGGCACCCTTCCTTTAAATGGTATGCGATGGTGCCTTTGCGTTGTTTTGGTGGTAAATAAACTAGATAAGTAAAGGGAGGCAGTAAAATCTTTATTCGTCACCAAATGTTGATGTCCACCAACCGTTTAGGAAAAGTTTCGGCTGAAATGAAGATGTAGGACTGCCATCCTTACAAACTCTTCACATTTCATGGCATTGGCTTCGATTCGTGCCAATAATATGCAGGAACTTGTGTGGTATAATGTCATGTATGCGGGCTTAATTTGGTATCTACAAGTAAAACACTGGGCTCACATTACGAAAGCCATCCCCAATCGAATGACTTAAATTGAATAGCTGGAAACGCTCAGCTGAATATCGTGTCTCTTGCTAATGTGTTCTCGTGAACATTTGTGATTAGTGTAATTAACAAAAATTGCCTTCACCTAAATTAGAAAACACTGACGTCACTGATTATTGAAAGACTCTTAATGTCTCCCGATGACTATATTTGAAAGCGCGGCTGTGTAGCACTTCCAAGTTCCAATAGCGGAGCAACTTTTGGGGAGATACCCTGATACCAACGTGTTTTAAAACTTGATTATTATTCTGAACCTAGTTGTTTGGTCCCGTACTCTTTGGTCCAGCTTAGTGTTAAAGGTCACTATCACGAATCTAATGGACGGTAATATGCATATGTTGGCTGGAGTTGGAAAGATTCATCGCGATTTTGCGGTCCAAATAGCTCTCAATCAACAGACAGCACAACTTTTCCTGTCATCGGCGGTTGTTCGGTTATTTGTTTTAGCGACACAAAACAAATGTTCACAAAGTCAAGACATTGACAGTAATATATGACTTCGGATCGATATTTGATGGAGCAAATGGTTTTAGGACTTTAGAAGAAAATAGCAGACCTTAGAAGAAAATAAAATATCCGAGCATAGTGCAGTTTTGGAGCGTTTAGGTAAATGTCTTGTGAGATATGTTTGGACACATCATGGCTCTTATTCCACTCATTACTGCTGTTCAGTGACCACAGTCGCATGCTCAGCTGAGGACATCAGGCGGCAATGTCCGATCCAGTGTTCCACGTGGTTCTGCGATTAATCGTCCTCCAAATCGATTAGACGGCTCAAGGACGGAATGGACTTCCGGCCGTCGAGAAGGCAGCTGCCATCGAACACAAACTATAACGGCTGACACGCCGATCAGGCCACACGCAGGCTGCGAGCCATAAGACGCACAAAAAAGAAGAAGCCCGAGATGGCGCTAGCATGGAAAGCTGGTTAATTCTAATACCAGGTTATGTGGAGTGCTGCATATAATTTATTTTGTTTTATTACCACAATATTTTTTATGCGCTGGTAGGGTAGGTACCTACGACGATGAGTATCAACAAAGTTATGTGTAGAACATGGATATTTGAACCAAAGACTGAGGATGTGATGAACCGTATGCTTTACTAAAACTTAACCCTCGCATGTGTGCGGCGTTTGCCAGCTTCTAATGTGTAGGGGGGGGGGTCGGTTGGACCCCCCCCTTGCCGTTTGGCCCCTGATCGAGCTAGAGCTTCGCGGAAAAAACGAGCGTGTTGCCCGTGACCAGAGGAAGCCGATGATACCCAATTTTAAGGTCCTAGGTCATTGGTTGACCTTCCAGGTCAGGTCAATGACCCAAAGTCGGGAAAATCGGGACCTGTTAGAAAGTCGTAAAGTGTGGCTGCTAAGGGGTTTTTCGGGGTGCTGATCACGAATATCGTGTTAGTTTTGATCACAGATGATGTCTTGAAGCATTTAGACCAGGTCGGGTCAGGTCAGGTCAGGTCAACCAGTAGGCGTCGTGACGGGTATTCGTAGTACGTGTCAACCGCCTCTGACAGCTTCGTAACATGTTACGAAGTCACCAAAACTACTTAGTAAATGTTCAAATGGTTGCTAAATTCGAATTCAGCTCCAAAAACTAGCCTAGAAACATGTAAAACTCGAAAAAGTGACCCGAGGTCACCCGAGGTCACCAAAGGTCAATGACCTGACCTGACCTTCAGGTGACCTTGACACACACGGGAGTAACATCAAATCACATGTTTGAACGTTTGAAACCACGAAAAGCTTGCAAACACGCGGCTAGTGCGAGCCGACATACGCGAAATCGCGATTCCGGCCAAACATGGTCTCGGAAAAGAGGTCACAGGTCAAAGGTCATTTGGGTCAGGGTCATGAAATTTTCAGGGTAGGTGTAAAATTCATCAATGTGAGGGTACTGAAAGATTCGTCGCGATCGGCCGCTTTTTACGCGAGTTATTCGCGAAAAACCATGGGGGGGGGGGTCCATCCGACCCCCCCCCTACACATGCGAGGGTTAAGTAAAACATTATAGTAAACCCTGTTTGGTAGCAGCATGAAGTAAGTTACTTCGTTACTACTCCACTAATATTAAATTTACAAAGCAATGTTTACCCCCTCCCCCCAAAATGTTTCAACTTCAAACATTTTACCTGGTCCTATACCAATTAGTGTCCATTGTCCAACATACCTAAAAAGCAAATACAATAAGAGTTTTGCCAATTTTTGTTTCAATGTAGTTATATGCTGGTTTGAGAAGAAGTATCACCATTAGTTTAAATTCATTTGTCTGCGTGTTGGTCGTATGCTGCCGTCCACCTGAACCAGGTCACAGGACTGTTTTGAGCATCTGACAAGGCCGCACTGGCCATGAAGTGCGTAGCTCATCATCGTCGATATTTTCGGGAGGACAGTTTCACCCATACTGACCGGGTATCGACCAAACGGTGGGCTGTTTGGGCGGACCGGGTCCGGTTACGAGTCGCCCCTCTCCCCGCTCCCTGTGCTCCTCCCCGCTCCAAACAATCGCCGATACTACAACAGGATATGGACAGTGATTCGGACAGAAAGGTCGGTAAACGGAGGGACCGACTGATCGCCGTTTGACCTGAGTGGTCCGGCGGAGCGGTCCGAGCGGATTGGAATGTGGTCGTCTTTGACTAAAGTGAGCGGTGCGATATGTTTTTGGACAATGCGCACGATCTGTGTGCTGTGACTGGTGCACCCGGAATATGTGATAACGTAC